CAAACACACTTATCCCATCATTCTTGCCACTTTCTGAAGCAGTGCTAGAGGTCTTCTTCAGGGAGTGTCTTTATGAAGTACAATCAAAATATGATGAATCCTATTGCCAAGACCCATCCAACAGAAAAGCAGGCTTGTAAAAATGTGACCTCATACACCTCAGTCACTTATCTGACACCTGTGACTTCAGGCTCTTCTCCCAAGTCAAAATGACCATGAAAGGTAAATATCTTGAATCAGTGCAGAACACTACGCCAGCCACAATACCTTAATTAAAGACACTCAAGAAAGAGAACTTCCAGAACTGTTTATGAAAATGGCAGGAATGGTAGGTAAGTATTTCTGAAGTGAGGGGGAATATTTTGAAGAGGATTAATGGCACTGTGTCTTTTACCATAATAATTTTTGAACTTAAGTATTTATCATTTTTTATTACACCTTATAATCCTCTTATTAGTCTTACTGTGTTTTAGGCTTTGAGTTTTTGATGCTGTCATTGTTATTGTTATTATTATTGTTTTGTTTTGGTACTTTTTTGATGACTGATGTTTAAGAACTATTACTGTTTCCTCCATTGGTTAGAATGGAGGAATTATTCTTTAGTAACAATGCAACCTATTTTCTGATACTCTGTGCCTATGAGTAAGTATTCTGTTCCCTGAAATGTCATTTCCTGGTTGATACAAGAAGAAACTCAAATACTGATCTATCTGAGACACCTTTTCTCCCCTTAGTCTGTGTTTGGCATTCTTTTCTAGGTTCCCACACTGCATATCTTAACACAACGCATCCCATACTCTGGGAAATGGTTGCTGTATCTGTCCATACTATACACTACAAGCTCCATTGTGTTAACTCTTTTCCCTTGTATTTCCAGTGTCTAACATTGGATATGGTAAAAGCAGAGACATTTGGATGGACGGGTAGTCCTAGAGTCATACTGGATCAAATCTTTGAAACTCTCTCTGCTGCAGGGAAAGAGTTTTTATTATAGGCTGAAATTTTAAACTAGAAAATCCCTGTTTCACACTGCTTTCCCTGCTCTACTCAAGAAATATCTTGAAGTTCCTGGAATCATAAGATTTGAGGAAATGAAGCATTATAAGAATGATTCCTCCATACCAGTTTCGACTTCCTTGACATTTACGTCCTGTATGTGATCAGAAATTTATAAATGAATTGTTCATGATAATGAGCCATTCTTAATGCAGTACTGATTGAACACCTTTCTCAAAGAAGATCACAGTTGTTTCACAAACATTATCTAAATTGTCTTCAGAACATATTTGTATCATAGTGACCACTCATTCAGAATTCACCAGGGCCTGACAATCCAGGTCTCTGTGAAGTAAACTGTACTCCCTCACACACATACGTCCTACCGCCAAAAGACAGTTTAAGTGTATAGTGACAGTAGCACTTTATTACTACTGGTGTTACTTCCCTGAGTCTTCTAGATAGTCTTAGGTCAGAAACTGAGCAGCTATAAGGAAAAAAAAGTGTGAAGTGGTCATAAAGTTATAAAGATAAAGTGTTACGGGAGTTTAGAGAAAGAAAAGATTACTTTTAGCTAGCAGTATATTGCCTACATCTTCAAACAAGTGTTTGTATAGCTCCTTCAGTGAGTGAAACCTGCAGTTCTTAATTGAAGACCCATATGTCCAAGTCCCAAGTCGGACATTTTGTGGAGAAGCAATGTGATATAAGGGAGCCATCACTGGATTAAGAGGAGAGAGATTAGATTTCTGAACCCAACTGTTACCATTAACCAGCTGTGTGTCCTGGTGGAGTGGCTTATTCCCTCCAGACCTATAAACCTAGAGCACTGGACTGTGATTTCCAGAGCCTTTTTCAACTTTAGTATAGAGTGATGCTGCCTTTGTTGCTCCTGGATTTTCTCTGCCAGTCAGCTATACACTTCAGATAAACCCAATTGCTCCTATCTTCTGTCTGTGCGCCTCCTCCAGTGTTTGCCAACAGTTTTTAAAAATATATGCATATTGACCACCACTGTGGACTGTCTCCACCCCCTTGGGCAATAGCCATATTCATTTCATTTTTGTGTCCTGTCAGTGACATGGATGCATTTAGCTCCCCTTCCCTGTATATTTAATTTTTGAGTCTCTTCTGACTCATTTTAGTATGTTAACTCATATAAGAAAGGAAAGTCCCATCTACCATTCCGTGCTCCCATCTTACTATATTCCCCCTGCACAACTAACTCTATCCAAATAGTCTTTTTTTTTTTTTTTTTTTTTTTTTTTTTTTTTGTCTTTTTGAGACAGAGTCTCACTATGCAACTCAGGCTGGCTTTGAGCTCACTTTGTAACCCAGGCTGGTCTCAAACTCACAACAATCCTCTAGTCTCAGCCTCCTGATTGTTAGAATTTCAGGCGTGAGCCACCACAAAATAGTGGTCTTGGTTCAGCATATACACTATTGTCCTCTCCGTGGCTCCTTCACTCCTGGCCCCTGCCTTGATAAAGTCCCTAAACAGTTTTTTTTTTTTTTTTTAACTTGCCAAATTCAAAGATAGCTTGGCATCTGCATCATAGCCTCTAGCAACCCCTGCTTGAACTATCCCCTTGTTCTGGAAACTGCCAGCCTCTTGCTCCTGTGGAACTAGTTGCTCCTGATTCTGCCCCTTGGCTCTGTCTTCTCATGTCTAGACCTAATCGTGTTAGTCTCCTCCAAAACTGCTTGTTCTCATTTCCCTGTTTGGGCAGTGCTTCCCACAATCCATCTAGTGATCCAGACCTGGAGTTCTCCTCCCTCATCCACACAACCACCAGGTACTACAGATGTTTATACCTTCACTGGTATACCTGGAGTGTTTCTAGTAGCCTCCAGTACCCTCTAGTTTTTCCTGCCCTGTGTCTCTGTCTTATAATCTATCCTCCATGTTTAGCCAAAGTGACCTTCCTAGACTAAAAATTTGGTATTTCTGCCTTTCCTTCTTAAATCTTTTATACCTGACCACTATCTGAAATTTTTGGAAAAGTTTCAGTTCCTTGGCTCAGAAAGCCTCTTACCACTTGATGGTGACCATTTCTCTCATTGCTTTTCACATGCATGTGATGCAGTCCTTAAAGGAAAGAACTGCATTCTCTCACCTCTGTATCTCTGCATGGGATATCGTGTGAGTTTCATGTATCATCTCTCTTCCTCTAGTGCCAACTCCAGGGACTGGGGAAATATAGCACTCTTTCTAGGAAATCTTTGCCTTCCTTACCAAGCACAATTGAGTGTCTGTGCTCTTGGCTGCCAGAGGCTTTGTCTTGCCTCTTCCCATCTCTTGCTATGTTGCTCAGCTGCCTGTTAGCAGCTGCATCCCCCCAAACACAAAGTGAGCACCTGAAGGGGAGAAGCTTTCTCACCTGGCCTTTGTTCTCAGGCTTTAACCTTGAGCCTGACATATGATAGCTATTTCTTCCATCCTTGCTGAATGGGTAGAAAAATACATGCTATTGGTTAAGATACCTTACTTAGAGATTCTGTCAGTCTTCTCCAAATATTTTATTTTGTCCTTCTATGTATTACTATAGAATAGGGGTCACATTCCTCAATCCAAATCAAGGGTTTTCTTCTGCTTCAAAGGTATGTTTTCCACTTTTTTCTGAAAAGACTGACTCATTAGGACCCTACACATTCCATTCCCTTTGTAGTCTTTGCTCCAAAAACTGAGTATATGAACAAATGAAGTGGGAAGTTGGAGACTTGCTCTCTCAAGGCCTATGTTCTATGTGTAAGAGCATCATACGTTTTAGGGGAATCAAAACCACTCTGAATTATTTAGCCTCTTATCCCTTGAGAGTCCTCCCTGTCTCTTCTTCCTCTTGTGTTCTAAAGACCCTGGCAGGCATTAGGTACACATAGTCTGCCTGTTAATAATTTCCTATCATGTAAGTGCCAGAACCAAGTACTATTCCCCTTTCATTTAAATTAGATAAAACCCTGAGCTGTGGCTTGCAAGTGATGGAAGTCCACTGGGGAAATTAAAGGTTCAGACAGAATGGGACCCGTTATAATAAAAGCATTTGCACAGCCAGTGATTCCATACACCCTGTAGCTTTTGTGTTCCTTAGGGTAAGATGAAATATGAAGCCAAAGGACCTTTGAAAGTAGTTTCAGGAATTTATTTTAATTGGAAATGGTGGTAGCATTATGTGCTTGGAGTAGACTCTGTGGATTGTGCACAATGCTGTGTTTGGCATTGTATAAAGAACCATGGAGCATCCAGGTCTACCAGGACTCAGGATCTCAGCTTTGTTTTAAGTTTTTTCTACGTCTGTGTATATACTGGTCATGATCATAAGGTCCATATCTCCCTTCCTTCACTCCTCCCTCTTACCCTCAAATTTTCAGTGGCTCTGCATTCCTATTCTGTATTAAGCACTTCATAAAAACAATATAGTGATACCTGAGTCAGTCAATTGCTAGTCCTTCAAATCACTCATAACTATGACACCTAAGAAAAATTCACAAAACAGACATCTAAAATAGCCAGAAGAGACATAGAAATCCATATATAAATGTGTAATAATACGATGACAGTTTTTTTCAGCACCCTTAGGTTCTGCTTATGTATAAAGAACTTTCTCATTTAACCCTTCTATGCAAGTGTTGCCTCCATTTTGCTGCACAGGGAGCAAGGGAAGTTAAAACACTAGCCCAAGATCACATAGCTATAATGAATGGAAAAATCAGAAGGATCTGCATTACAAAGGCAGAAATCATATTGAGTGGTATAACCAGGTTTCAAACTTGACTCCAAAGCCCAAGCTGTGAAGTACCATGTTACAGTGCCTCTGACTTAAAAGGGTTACACTGCTGAGTATAAAACTCAAGCTTGATCTTTAACATAGACAATTACGTGGGAGAAGTCTTCTTATTACTTGTGTACCCTTGTAATAGCAGCAGTACTGAAATAGTGTCACATTTCTAAAACTGGTTTTGCAGTTGTTCAGTCTGCCTTTACTTTCTCACTTTTGTGTTTTTAGATGCATCATCCCATTCAGATGAAACCTGCAGATAGTGAAAAGTCAAATGGTAAGTGCTAACCAACTGTCTCATTTAATAATGTCTGCTTTTTTAAATTGAAAGGTTAGGGCTGTAACTCAGTGGTAGAACCCTGCCTAGCACACAAGGTCTGGGTTAGATCCCCAGCACCTTAAAAACCTAAAGTTAGATGGGGGAAGAAAGAGTCTGCCCCAGTGGCTTTTTTCTCTGGAAGGTGGAGATTGCTGGCCCAGGAACCTTCCTACGTGGTCAGCACACTCCATTCTCTTGTCTCATTTATCTCTTCTGTAAAGATCTGAGAGACTTTTAAAGGAATGGTTTCCATGTCTTGTTGGTTGAGGCTTGCCTGGTACAGAGCCCTGTAACATTTGGCTCTTGTTTACCTCCCCCAACATAATAATACATGGCTACCTGATGGGTGGAAAGAGAACATAAGCAGTACAGGAATTATGCATTAAGAATGAGGCTACCTTTTTTTCCTTCTCCATTTGCTCTGATTGTTTTATTGCACTCTACTTTAAATTGTACCAGTACGTTTGCATCAGAATTCAGCCTGCTGATTAAGTAAACGTATACTTGCTGCAAAAATATGCATTTGATGAGATCCATGATATAACTGGGATTTGCTTCTCCAAGGCACAAGAGGGTTGAGAGCCCACATTTCTCTCAAAAGTTGTTGCTTCCATTTCTATAAGCTTTCTGTCCCTGTTTTGTTCTTTTAATTTACTGAAATGTATGTTAAAAGAATTGCCAGCCACCTTAGACCACAGAGCTTCTGTGTCCCACAAGACTGACATAATCAGCATTGTTTCCTTCCAGCAGGCAGTTTTGTAGCTCATTAATTAGTAATCAGGGCAGAAGCCATGCACTTAGAGATCTACATATCTGAAAATGTAAATTATTATTGGGCTCTAAATCTCACCACAAGGTATATTTTGCTAACTGTAGTACATCCCATTTTCTAGCTTCTTCTCAGACTAGAAAGTATTGAAGAAAAATCCAAGTAGCTGCCAACTTTTCTTTCCAGGGCTTTTCTTTCCAGGAGCAAATTCTGATGCTCTCCCCACTGCATTCACAGACCTATACTTTCCATAGGGTTATTTCTCTTTTTGGTATATCCCTTTATCATAAACATACCATGTAATGGCAAAAGTTCTAAGATCCACTTTTTTGTTATAAAATCATGATCATGTTGCTTCATTTCCTCAACACTTATTCACTAATAACTTATTGTGTTCCAGCCCTATTCTAGGGGCTGAGTTGCAGCAATAAAGTAAAAAAGAAAAGAAAAAGACTGCCAGAGACTATATATCCTCTCCTTATAGAACTCATATTTAGTCTATGGATTTGAATACCAGATAGTCACTTAGACATGAAAGTCATTCATAAAATAAAACCTAATGGTAACTACCTCACATAGGTTGGCTGTTTTGTTTTTTTCCCCTTCCTGAGACTCAAGTAAAAGGTTTGTAACAGTCTTTAAATGCTAGGGCACGTCTGTACAATGTTGGCTAAATTAGTACTATCCAGAGATCTCCTCCTAGTTTTATAGGGTTCCTTGCACATGGCCACCTAAATGAAAAGCCATTTCCTGTGCTCATTACTTGAGCCATTTACAGTCTGTCCTACTCCTTAATGGGAAACCGGAGAGACAAATCTTGTATTTGTAGAGCGAATCCTATCAGTGACAGTTTTCTCAGAGGTTCTGACCACCGAGATGCTCCTTGTCCTTGGCCTCATAAGTCTTTCAACTGTGTCCAGACAAAGGCAATGGAATGAAAGTCTATTGGAAAGACATGTGTCTTCTGAGTCTTATGTTGAATTTATAAAAACATGATTAGTTAGTGAACTGAGTTGAAAATATATGACTTAAAATATTCAAGTAGTTGGAACATGAAGCAGTTTCTTCTTTTGTATTTTCTGCTGCATATGTGTGCCCTGATTTAGGAATTCTTTCCATAGGCAAGCTGATAGGCATTTTGCTGTTTTGTTGCTCTCACTGTCTAGTGTCTATGCTGGACACTAAGGATAATGTTTGCTTTGTGTTTAATACCAAGCACAACAACAGAATAAAACTGCCATGTTGTGAGTACTCTCAGGTTTACATAATCTCAAAAGTCAAGAATTGGGTACTATTGACTACTAGAATACAAAAGTGCCTTAAAACGCGCCGTTTTAGGAAGCAGCATGGGGTAGCAGTTAATAACTATTTTGGAAGTCTAGGTTGATTCCTGACTCTGCACTTATTGGGTGTGTCCTCCAGCAGGTTACTTCACCTCACTCAGCCTCAGTATCATCAGCTGTAAGAGGGGACTGCAGTAATGTAGCATGAACTCTTTTTGTAATACCTGTGTTACATGGCTAGCTAAGATTCATATACGTTAACATCTATAAAGAGCTTAACATACTACCTGGCATGTATTAAATATTCAGTATGCTAAGATATGCTAAATTAACAGCAAAATTCACTAATCTAGAGAGATGTTTTAGTACCTTCTAAGTGATAGAGGCCTTCTAAAAGGGCCAGTTCTTCCTTTGCATTGTACATTGACCTTCATTTTCTGAATTTCCTGCAAAAAGTATAAATTGAAAGCTAGCTTTCAAGGATCTTCTTTGTGGAGGTTCAAATGGAATTTCACCTTGCATAGATATAAACAGGTTTTGTGATTCTCTTGGATCTGATTTAGTAATCTGAAGAAATGTCTAATTTTCTAAAGCAAGTGGTAAATCTACAGCCCTTTCTGATTCCATAAAACAATTTTTGACAGGTAAGCATAGTTTCAAAAGCTCAAAGAGCACAAAGATTTCTTTGGCTTGGATGCTCTAAATAGCTCCTATAGCTGTGAAAGAACTATAACGAGCTCTAATTGCACTTTTATTGAGTTTGCTGACATTTATGCATAGCACAAAGGACTCATCACAGTTAGACAGTTACTGTCTTCATTATCTGTATATTCAGATTTCTGAAACTTTATGTTTGCTAAGCAAGAAAGGGCTGCTAATCACAGATCAATTAGTGATGGACAAATGAATTCCCAAAATGCAATCATCCTCAAGCCCTAACCAATCTGGCAAGTTTAATAAAGAGAACCTCTGTAGCGAGACCAAAATTGTTAGACTGCTCTTAGATCAACCCTGCACTTTCAGATTTTACTGAATGGGCTTCCTTAACTCTATGCTTTCCTATAGCTTGCCCTTTCAATAGGTTCTGATTTAAGCTGCAGCCTCTAGTGCATCTATGCAAACTCAAGCATTTTATATCCCTCCCACATATTTCTATTGTGCCAGATTCTAAGAGAAAAAAAAAATCTCATTCTGAATAAAAAGTATCTTAACAGCACATTGAAATAACTCACTATCAACAAAATCTAACCTTTTTGCTGTTATTCCACTGCAGAAAATTAAGTGATGATACAATAAGGACATTTGAGAAGGTATGGATTTAGGATATTCATATGAAATAGCACAAACATAGTTATGCTTTCATTCTGGGCACCATCTATATACTATTCTGTATACCATCCAGCTATTAATCCTCTATAATTGTGCAGTAGAAAATGCTAGCAGTGAAAGATTTAAAAGCAGTTGCTGATCTTAGTCTAGCAGTGAGTGATAGGAAAAACCTCTGGTTCTGTGCTGGGGTCTTAGTGGCTGGAGCCAGTATTGACTGTTAGGTCATGCTTGCTGTAAGAGGGATTGTTTTTACCAGAAAACATGGTATACAAATCCTTCTTGCTTTAACTTTCCTACCTCACAACTTGCCGATGGTCCTGAAAGCCTAGAATCCAGAAGTGCTATTTAAGACCACTGCCTCTCTTTTCTCAAGGCCTCTAAAACCTCCAATATTCATGCATCAAGTTCAGAGCTAACAAGAGAAAAGATACCCAAATATTGTTCAGGATAGGTGGAGACCTCCAAAGCCTTCATTAAAAATAGGAATCATGGGGTGTTTCTAGATCCAGTCACTTTCTGATTTACTAGAAGATGAAGAAATAATTTTGAAATTCAAAGTGAGAGACTCACAGATATGGAGGCAGTAATTAAATGCCATATGTTAGCACTAACACATTGAAAAGTTGTTAATTAATTCAGGCAGTCCTGATTCCAGGTGTGACTTTGACAGATTGTACACCAGGGTGTTAGCACAGACTTACAATTAAGGATATTTTAAAAATGAAGTTTCTGTTCCTCTAGTTTAAAAAAGTCATCCTAATACTTAAAGTATTAACCTTTTCTTGTGTCCTAAGAAGAGAATTTTAAGTGGCCACGAGTATGGAACTCCTTGGTTCTGTTGAGGCTGTTGTTGATGGAAAAGACCAGATCTTGTACATCTTTTCCCCTAGAGGCCAAGAACCTTAACTTTTGGTCTGTTTTGTTTTGCTTTGCTTTGTTTTGTTTTTCTTCTAAAGCATCTAGCAAACTACCAGTACAGAAGATTCAGTTAAGCAATCCACATTTTCATAGACTGAAAAAAAAATGAGATACTGCCCATGAATGCTAAAGAAAAACTAACCAACAAAGTAATCAAAAAGTGGTGACAAATTAAGTAAATTCAAGATATTTACATTTATTGAGAATATTCACAAAACTGTTAAGAATCCTTAGAATAAGAATCTGGGGGATAATCCCTGTGAATGAATTTTCCCTGGGCAGTGGGGAAAACTCCGAGGAAAAGAAACCAAGATATGTGTAACTGCCCTCAATTTTGCCTTTAAAGCAATCATGACACAAGTGTTAAAGCCACGGAACAATTTTGGCTAGTGAAAAACTGAGAATGTCTAGCTTACTTTATGCCTACACATGCATATGAGCCCACATGGGAACAGGACAAAATTAGCATTTCAAATAACATGATTGATATAAGTTTCCTTTTCTTTTTCCTCTAGCTAATCCTTGTTATTTTTCAAACCATGAATTATCTCCCTTCTCTCTGCCCAGCTGAGTTTATACTTATTGATAGCTAGGGAAGCAGGATTTCCTCATAAGTGGTATACATTTTATTAATATCCATCTTAGGAAAAAAATTCATTTTTTAACTTACTTGGTAGATGTATATTTAATTTACTATAGCATTTACCCTGGAGCTCAAAACTTGTGAATTGTTTTAGCTTAATATCATAATTATATGTTTATCAGTCAAATCAGGGACCAAGTGGGAAATTTTCATTTGCTTTTATTTAAAAAAACTAAAACCAGTTTTTTTGAGGTAGAAACAAATACAACAAGAACTTTTTGTTTTATTCTTATAAAGATATCAGCCATGGTTTCTGGAGACAGGAGCATTGGAGATGAAAAGAAAGGAAGAGGAAGAACAGCAAACTAGAAGTCTTCCCCACCCTCTCTGCCTTAGTCAGTTCCATTCATTTCCCTCTTACTATCTCACTCAAGTAAATGCCTTCCTCACCAGGCCTGGCCAACCAAAAGCCTCCTATGTGAAGGTAGCCAGGCATCATAGCCTCTGTTGATCCAGATGTTAGAGACTAGAGTAAACAAAGCCCCTGGCAAAGGCTTCTGAAACTTAGCGGTACCATGCTGCCTGTGACTGCTAGGTTTTTGCAGTTCAGGATAGATCCTTGGTGTACTTCACTTATTGAAGGTAGTTTCACTTATTCAGTGCAGAGAACTTTGACTGAAAAATCCTTCATCTAAATGTAGAAGTCAGGTACGCAACCATCTCCCTCCAAAAATTCAGAGTCCATCACTCTGTTGTTTAGTCTGCTTCAAATCTCAAAATAAGTAATGACCTGTGACAGCTCCTTATATCTCCACTCATTGATCTTCTCCTCTACAGATTAATCAGCAAACAGTGCATGCCATATTCAGTTCAGACTGTTTTCCTCTCTGTAGCCTAAATACAGTCCTCTTATTTCTCAATGTTACCTAGTTAGTACCACCTTCTCTCTTACTACCAATCTATCCAGATCCTGACCATGCTTCTTAAGATTCAGCATCAGGACTTCAAAAGAGCCCTAGAGTTTCTCTGCATTACTTCAGGAGCTGTCATTGAGTGTGAAGAGAGACTGAGTGGAAGGGATTCTGCACACCACTCCAGCAGCCCTCACCCCGAAGTGCTTCAGTGCACAGAAGCATTGAACTGGGCTGCCTTCTCTGCAGTGTCTGGGAGAGAAAGAAAAAAGAAAAGAATGTAAACACTCATCATACCAATGACAAAAACTAGGCCTAGGAGTGAGATAGTTCTCAGGGTCACACATGAAGTTAATAGCAACGCTGAAACTTGAAGCAGATCTTAACACCGATGTTGCTCTCCCCTGAAAGCCTCCTCTATTTCCTTTAAACTGGCATGATAAACAATAGACAGAGAAGAGCACTGAGCATGAAAGTAGGAACTCAGTGGTGGTCCAGATTAGACCATATATTTGTTGAAAGATCTAGATAAATCCCCGTTCCTTTGCTGATGCCTCAGAGTCTGTTTTAAAGATAGATAAAATGGTTCTTGAGTCTCTTATTTCCAGTTTGGAATTCAAGAACAGAACATTTAGCTGACTCAAAGCAGTTCTTCAAAGATACACTGCCCAATCTAGTAGCTTTTAAAACTTAATTAAATGAAATTACATTTAAAAAATCAATTCCTCTATCACATTAGTTCCTTTAAAGTGATTGGCAACCACATGTGACTTTAGCTGTATGTTGACAACATGGACATAGGATTCTTTCAAGTCCAGAAGAGATGCTTGTGGATTAAATGAAAACAAGACATTATCTAAAGAATGACAATGGAAACAGAAATAAAACCAATTAAATAACAGCTACAAGATTACAATGCAGATTCTGGACAAAGATTTATACACAGTGACTTGTGGCACAGCCTTTCTCCTAAGCCAGGACTCTGTAGTCTCTGGGACAGCTGGCTTTCCTTTTTATTTTTTTTTTTTAATTTATTAGTCTAAGAATTGATTAAAGTAAAAGAAACAGAGAAAAAAAACTTTTCCCCATAGATATCTATGACGTCCTAAACAAATTTTAAAAGGCCTCTCTCTTTCAAAAAACAAAAAAATTCAAAAATACTGTCCTGAAATCAGTTATAATTTTGCCATGTTCAGGCTAAATGTAGGTCACATAATCTAAACATGGAAGTTTTGAGGAAAATCTTTACAGGTCATCAGAAGTAAAACTTGTCTTATCTTTTCCCTTCTCAGATTCCAATTTGCAAGTGTTGTATTAATACTCAAAAGATATCTCCATCTCTCAAGTATCCTACCTTCAAGTTGTTGGAATAGTATCTCTCCCTCTTCCTCTTATTTTCTCAAGAAAAGCCTGTAGCCATTAGAAGTGATTCTCAAGTAGCGCCAGCCAGCTTCTGTGATTAACATTGGCTTTCCCTTCAGTTGTAACCAACCTGACTGGTTAGAACCAGATGTAGATTCTACTTAGGGACCTACTTAGGAACACAGCTCAAACTGCTGCCTCTGGAGGGAAGTGTACACCAGCTCTTCAGAGAAATGGGACTCTGATCTCCTATTCTTATCTGGATCAGTGGGGACTAACCCACTTGAAACAGGGAAAGAAAGACGTTTTCTTCCCTTGACTTTATTTGAAGTTGCACTTACAGTTTTACATCTGCTCCTATTGCTTTTTCTCTCCTGATCTAGAACATCTACAGAAAGCCAAATTCAAATATGAGTTCAAAAACATCTCTGTGGAAAGGTCATTTTTGGCAATTCCATAAGTATTTTATAATCTTAAACACCTACTGTTAATTTCTGAAAGGGAAAAAATATTTCACAATGTTCTATATTCTTTGAGTTCATCATGTTCGTAAAAAGTGCCTGAAGAGAGATGAAGTGTTCAGGAAGGGTAGGGAAGAGAAAGATGCAGGAGGGGGCAAGTGGGAGGAAAGCAGGGTAGAGATCACTCAGTTTCACGTGGTGGGGGCTGGTTTACTGGGGTAATGAAGCACTGATTACAAGAAAAAACGAAGGAATGCCTTTTGCTCATTCATTATTTTTACTTCCTAGCTGTGGAAGACAGAAAACTGTTCATAGGAATGGTTTCAAAGAAATGTAATGAGAATGATATCAGAGTGATGTTTTCTCCATTTGGCCAGATAGAAGAATGCCGGATTCTCCGAGGACCTGACGGGCTGAGTCGAGGTGAGTGCGGTGTGTGTAAAGTCTCTTTCCTTAAGTGATAATTAAATCTCTGTGTCACAGTCAAGGTAGATGTAGGCACTGCATACAGCAGGAGGTTACTCTGAGAAGGGTCCCATGTGGTAAACTTACCTATGCCGAACTTTCCACTGTAACTGAAACTTTTATTTCTCAGGTTGAGAAGGTCTGAGTACCAACATATTAGCTCAGGTTATCTCTGTCATATAGGAAACTGACAGGCTGCCCTATCACTACATATCTCTTTCCAATCTCAAATTGAAGCAGATATGGGGGCAAGCAAGAGATGAGCAGGATGAGTTGGTATTTGCTGTTTTCACCTTAGTCCCCTGACTTTGTGCCTGTGTCTGAAAGCATTATTAAAGGGACTGTCCTCTCCACAAATAGTCCAAGCCAATAAAATTGCTGCTCATGTGCTGTGCTGGGCAGACAAGGGCTCATGATGACTCTTCCGGTCCAAGATTTTAGAGTTTTGTTTCAAAGAGTGAAGCTTTTGGAGTCCCCAATACAGGGAGTTCTTTTTCAGTAACAACAGAAAAAGATTGTAGGTTCTTCTTGCCATCATCGTAAAGCCAAAAACTGTGGCTCAGAGCTGGGATGAGTATTTTTACAAGCAGAATAGTGAAAAATCACCCTTCTCTTCCATTTGTCCTCTCCTTAACAAGTTAGCACACCTCCTTCCTTCAGCCACTGAGGAAGGTAGGTCCCAAGTTATCTGGCTGCAGTTTCCAGAGAAAGTCCCAAGTAGAAGTGTATATATGAACATTTTTCACGGCTTGCTAGAAATCCACATTTTTGCAACAGGTAGAGGCTTTGCTCTATTATTAGTGCAGTGACCGTTGGGGCTAACTAGGATCTTGTTCATTCTTACATTCTGAACCTGGGCCATCCCTAGCACCCAAGCCACAGTCTGAGAGAAGAAGTCAGTCTATAAGTAATCAGGTCTTATTCTCACCTGTCTCACTAGTTTTACCTAATTTCAGCATTGTGTGAGGAAGAACATTTGCTGTTTTGATTTTAGACATAAAGCTTTAGGATGACAGCTGCTAGAATTAAAGCCACAAATGTCCTACCTACATCCACCTCCAGAGCCCCAAAGTGGAGGTGCTATAGAGGAAATTCAGGAGGAGGTAGAACAGCGCCCCTGCTTTTTATTCCTGTATTTTCTTGTGAAGGTGGGAGAGAAAAAGGAAGAAGGCAAGGTGGAAGTACCAGTTTATGCATTCTCTAACAAATCCTGAAATCCTGGTTATTTTATCTTCACTTCAAAGATGTGATTCTCTAAAAGCTGAACAAGCTATTAAGTGTGATTCCTTCAACAACTGCTCCATTACCTGAGGCTCATCTGTAGCGTATCACCTGTGCTTCATTACTGTCCCCCAAAACAGTCCATTGTTGTGACGAACAGCATAACCTCCAGGCAGGATAGCAGGCACACCATCATAGCCAGTTCAGCCAGCAGATCTCCTAATCACACATGACCATCCAGTTCTACTGCAGTCATTTCATATGTCTAATTATTTTCATCCATATACTGAGACAGACACACTAGGAGAAAGAATACTATAGAAAAGGCAATGAGGCTAAAAGAGCAAAATACGTAGGAAAGACATTACAGTATTTTTGTAATCACCTTTCTGCTGCCAGTGTAACTAGATCCCTGTTGTCTACTGTTATTCTCAGGCCCACTCCAGTGATATCATTGTGTTTCTTTCCTCAAAGTGTAGAATATGGAGACTACAACAAAAGGCAGGCCCCTAAATTAAGCATAGTAAAATTTATAGTGGCTTAGAGATCAGGGATCCCAAGGCCCGATTCTAACATGTGACTTTAGTCAATTCATCTTCCTATCTCTCTCCCTTAGTTTACCCACTTTAAATGACAACAGTAAAAATATCCATCCTGTTTTTACCCCCAGGGAGTCATTAATTACTCGTATGGCAACTTTTTGTCTAAGCTTACCATCTGTACAGGTCAGTAGAGACCCTGAATGGAAACTGAGTACCAAATTCCTGCTCTCTGTGAGGTTGACCTGGTCGGTCCACTTATGCACTGACTCTTCATCTTACTGTCTCAATCTGTTCAGGGGGACAGGAGTGAATAGCACCACTGCCCTGTACTTTGAGCTCCTTGACTATATATTAGTTAATTCTGCACGTAAGATTTTAAAACAGTCACAACTTTCATGGGAAAGAGCAAGACTCATGGTACTTAACAGAACTTCAACTAATTTAATCTGCCATTTGGTTGATTAACCAGCACTTGACACCAGAAGCAGCCTGTTTCTGAAACAAGTTATGGGAACCCTCTCATCAATATTTTATGCAGATACTGGTTCAATGTAAAGAGGAGACTACCCCTCTCCTTTTTTCAACACAAAGTAATTTCTAGTGAACTAATGAGAATCCCCTATTGGAAAAAAGAAAATACACATTTATAGCCATTTATTCTGAATACAAAGACAGACAGTGGTACGTTTTTCAATTAGCAGGACCCAGGGACTCCTGGTTATCAAGGCCTGCTCCTGAATCAGTGCATCTGTTAAAAGAACAATTCTCTTTCATGCTACTATTCTGCTTTCATTAAAGAATTACTGTTTGCAATCAAATATTAATAAGTGTCTTCCATTAGTGATGCTGCAGATAAAGGGCGCTCAACATTCCTTTTCTCAGTGTCTAGTGCTAGCTCGGCTATTTAGAAAGCAAATAAATAAAACTCAAGTGAAGCAAAAAAAATAAAATAAAATAAAAAACTATCTCCCAATACAAATAGGATATAAACTAATCACTAAGAAAGTTTTTGAGTCAAACCACCTGATTATAATGAGAGTGAAATGCAGTTGCATGGTTCACTTTTCTGTTTTCTTCTTTTGTTCACTTCAACTGTAAGAATGAAGACAAAAGAAGCAGTTAGTCTAGCTGGCTGTTTCTTTGCTACATCAGTAGTTACAGTTCTTCCCTAAGGGCCACTTGCTCAAATTTCTGAGTTTGTTTACTCAGTACTCTCACTGCATCCACTGGTGGGCTATCAAGACCTATAACTGTACATGTTGTACTCTGCTAACCTTTCAGTTAGAATCACTGTCTTTAAAAAGTAAAAATTATGGTCTGCAAATTGTCCAGATGGAGTATTTTTAAAGTTCTACCACCACTCACCAGCACAGCCCACTTTTTAGGAAAGATACCCTCAGGAAGTTGGTATGACTTTCTACCTGGACAACACCTTGTTTTCCAAGCACATGAAGCTACTCAGCAAACAACTAGGATTGTTCTTCACTTTATCCCAACATGCCCACATCTAAGTATGCATTTGCTCCTTTGGAGACCGTAGCCCATTCCAGTATCTGTCAGTTTCTGATTTTGGAAAACATGGTTTGCAATGATTTAGACAGCTTCATGATACTCAGACCATTCCACAGTGGTAACTCTACCTCTGGATGCCCTCCATGAACCTTTATTGACTAAACAAACACCTATGGCAATTCAGATGAGATGTTTACTGTCAGAAGCAGAAGCTTGAATTTTTTTTTTTTTTTTTTTTTGTCTTTTTCGTTTTTATCGGTACTGGGGATCGAACTCATGACTACCTGCTTGCAAGGCAGGCGCTTATACCACTGAGCTAAATCCCCAGCCCCGAAATTTCTAAACCAAATGTATTTATTTGACAGTGTTACCTTAGCATGTTAATTTCCTAAAATATATGTGTTCCCACTTATCCAAATCTTACCGTTTAGAATGGGCTGTTTAGATACAACCCACAGAGTTTTCTGCACCATGGCAATTGAGTATCTGTAACTTGGAAACAATGAAGAAGTTTACTTCATTTTTTTTCCCCACAAAATGTAGTCAAATCTTCACCACCATTTAAGGTAACTTTCTGCTTGTTTAAGAATATTCCAGCTGTGTTTATGGTGTTCAACATTCTCCTGCCAAAACCCTTGACAAATGAATTGGCAATATTTTCAGTGATGCCGGAGAGCACAGACTGGATTTAGCTATTAAATCTTCATTTATTTTTGCTGTATATGGAGAAGACTCAATTTTGATTAAGAGTTTAGCCTTGCCTTCATACCTAAACATTCAGATATGTGAAAACTTTTTATCACATCTTGTATTATGCCATCTTTTCTAAATACAGTCTCCAAGTCTCATTAATGATAAGATTTTACCAACTGTCACACAGGTCCCAATCTGCACCCAGCACTGGGTACCACAAAATGAATAATGTCTCCTTGCCAATATTAAATAAACTATCAAGCAGTGAGCACGGTGCATTAAAAGACTACTTTTAATGTCCCACTATGATACTGGTACCATCTATGTGATCAGTCAGGCACTGATGAAAAGATATGGCATTAAAATTATTGACTGTATTATTATCTTTGTTTGGCTGATAGAACTTTATTAACAAGCATTCCATACGTTGAAATCTCCTTCATCTGCACAAGTTATTTTTAAAGTACTTTTTTGCGGGGGGAGGGAGTTTTGGTTTTTTGGGATTTTTTTTGTTTTGTTTTGTTTTGTTGGGTTTTGGTACCGGGATTAAACTCACAACCTTGCACTTGCCAGGCAGGTGCTTATGCCACTGACCTAAATCTACCCAGCCAATTTTTAAATTATGCTTATTTCAATTGAAAGAGCACTCTGCTGCACATCTTTCATAGAAGTAGCAGAAAAGCAAGAGGCCATGGCATTGTTCTGGCTTTTAGAAGTACATATATTTTTTCCACTTTTGGTGTGGAGCGAAGATTCATCTACTTCTATAAAATTCTCTTGCAGCTGAGAGAACAGTAGAACACCTGAGTTAAGATAACTTTTCAATTGAAATGACAAGTGTAATAGATGTGTTCCAAAATCTTCTCTGTGACAGGGCTACGTTCCTTCCTTAGATCCTGTCTGTGGGAGGAAATTGCTTTGCAAAACCTTTCTCAGTCAATCATCCATCTGTTTTAGCAGCGAAAGGTAACCTCCCTGGAATAAGAGGAACTCAACTCCTTTCATTTCAGCTAGTACTCTCTAACATTCTAAAAGTAGAGATAATAATTAATTGCAAGGTAAATTACAGATTGACCATATATACAATAGCCCTCTCTCTTTGTTTTTTATCTCCTGCTATTTTGTAGTCGGAGGTTTTAAATAGAAAATACATGTATCTGCTATCATACCTCAACCAGAGGAAAAAAATGCAGCTTCATTATTTTCATACTTACATCCTCTCCACACTCCACCCCACCCCCATCTAACTCCTGCAGCATTTTAGTCAGTTGCCAGAGAACAGATTACTGAGATAGCACATTCAACAATCCACAGTAGTTAAAGACTGACACACTACAAAATCAGAGCTGTGTCTATCAAGACCCAGTGAACTCAACTGCATGAAAAGGCTCATTTTTGGTAAAAGAGGGGACAAATTATGACCTAAGTTATTTCTATCCAGTGGAAGACCTTCTAGTTGGCTTGTAAGAAAAAGCCACCAGTCTCAATGGTAGAAGCTCCTGTGAGTCTATGTTAGTAAAAAGCCACAGATTGGAGGTCTTAATCCTGAAGCCACCACTATGTTTGCACTGGTATTAAAAATTAAAATCTGTCCAGAGGACTGGCACAACCTCTTGTTTTAGAGAAATTACAAAGGTTAACAAGCTACTGTTCCCAGAAACACTTGGTTCTGGAGTTGCTTAACTTCATACAGAGTGGCAGAGAGAGCAAAAGTTTTTAACATGTACTCCCACTTTATAAATGACTCAGTAATTCTTTTGTCTTAAGTAACTAAACACAGCACATAGTACAGAACTTGACAGAAGCCCCTAAGAGACATTTTGTCTCCTACTGCACCCCTGTCAATAGAACAAAAAGGTTAAAGAAGTCGTCAAACTTGTCAGATCATTTTTGGATGAGGTAGATTGTATAATTGGATGTATCAGCTGAGTTTTTAATTGCAGGTTTCATGCAGGAAAGGGCAATAGTTCAAATTTATAGAGACTCAGTTTTATTCTTTTTACTAATACTTTTCTGAGACCTGCTAACTGCTTTATCTTTCTAAGTTACTTAGAAAAGTTCTGTGTATATGAAATTGTGGTAAGTGCATAAAACTGCCTTATTGATTCTTACTGATATTTTACATTTATTAATGCAGTTTAACCTCCATTTGGAAATTGTCAGTTTAGTGCATGTTCCTGGATAACAGGAGCAAATGAAGTGAATGTAATAATCTCCTTGACTATTGGAAGCAGAATTAATCCAGGCTTCACATGGTTTCAGATATATCTTCATTAAATGGTTTGCTTTTGCCTCCATTGAAGTCTAAAGGCAAGAAATAGAAAAATAAAATCCTTTACTGTTTTTTCTTCTGCATAATGTTGGCAATGATCATAACATTTCTAAAGAGATACTGCTTTGAAGCAGTTGGTAAATCTGAGACTGTATCATTTAAGACCTCTGTGTTAGCGTGGAAACCAGTGGAGGTACTGTCATCTGTCTCACACACTATTACACACATCGTCGAGATGCCTTAGAGAAAGCCACTATATTGCTTTTATTGATGACAAAAGCTACAGCTAGTGTAGGTAGAGGCAGAGGGTTTAAATAGTAAACCTCATCAGCCCCCTTCCCGTGGCTGTATATGCAACGGGTCAGCATTCATGGCAAGCTAGACTTCACTCAGGCTTCTTATGCTCAGCTTAACTGGAAAGTGAATGTGACATAAATTTCCCATGTACAGTTTCTGTATCAAAATTACAGCAAGATAGAAAAGCAAAAAAATGCATTGACTTATTTTCATGACTGGATGTCACTGTGCGTTGGGGTAGTGGGTAGGCACTGCTTTTTCTTATTGCTGTTTGATTAAAAAGGTGCTACTACAGTATTGACTTGATAATCTCACCAGGTACACATGCAGAGCAAAAGAAGAAAATATATTTTATGATTCACAAATTGATTTACATAAACGAAACAATCTGCTGGTTGTTTGAATATAGACTGTTCTATTTTGCTTATTGGCCACAGGGGCAATCTCTCATATTGTTTTGCCAGAATTCTGCTTTCATGCATTCACTCTGCAATGACAATAGGCTTTTGCCTCTCAGTGTTTAGATCTGCTTCATTTGGAAATCTTTTAAGTAGTAGTAATAATAATGTTTTGAGGAAATTGAGTGGAACACTAAATTATTCTCTGATACCTAAGTTCAAACTGTGCAAGGCTAAAGAAGCTGAAAATCAATGCACTTTTAAAGTCATTAGAGATCATAAGTGAAATAAGTCTGTATTGCTTTAGCTAAGCTTTTAGTGCGCTGCAGTATTATTATAAAATCAGCCTGAATCTGCATTAATTTCACAGTCTTTCTCTAAGAAGTCTAAGGGTGCGTGATGAATAAAATGTAAATTTCCAAAGGCAGTGTTTTTATTAGTGCAAAGGGCAATGAGCCATGTAGTTGGAGCACTGACCTGCACAGTAGCCAGTGCTGCTACAAAAAATGAGAACTGGCACTACAGATTCTAGTTATTTTACAGCATACAGAAAAAAATAAACATGAAAAGCTTTCGGGTCTCACAGTAGGCATTCAGAAAAATATACATTGTTTTATGTATGTTATGCTATAAGGATCAAGTACCTCATATGTTTCAGAAAGTCACATTTATGAAAAGTCGTGAAGATTTCTATACAAACAAATCCAATGCAAACTTTTAAATTTTATGTGTGTTGGTGAATATTCTCAGAATAATAAAGCATTCATTTTTATTAGCAATAATTATTTAATAGTTTGTAGCAGATTTGGTATATTTGTTTACATTTGAATGGCACTTTAAACTTAAACATTAATTTTTTAACTATCCTAAAGAAATTAGACATTAATTAGATAGCTTTTTGAGCTGTTGAAATCTGCTAATTTGCCATTAGTGTGAAGATTTTCTTTCTTACTCCTTAAAAATCAACAATAAAATTTGAAATACAAAGCCTTGATGTGTGAATGCCCTTAGTGTAAAGATCATCAGCCAAGGAGAAAATGGAAAAAACAACTTTTTATTTTAGAAAATGCAAACTAGATATTGCTAATTTCAAACCCTGTGGCTAAAAAAAGTATCCAGTTTCCTCCCCTAGTTTCCATTTAAAGAATAAACTAATAAATAAATCTTTCTGCTTTGGTCAGATTAGCAAGTCAGCACTGAATAAAACGCAAAATAAGATAAAACCAGAGAGAGAAGTTGTTTATTTTTATGTACTACTGAGAACAGTGTCGTCTTGTGGCAGTTCTCGTAGACTGTGTTGGTTTAACAAGCGTCCAACCCTTTTGTCTTGTTGTTTTTTGTCTTTCCTGCTCCCTGTCCCCTTGTTTCCCACAGGCTGTGCGTTTGTCACATTTTCTACAAGGGCAATGGCACAGAATGCAATCAAAGCCATGCATCAGTCTCAGACCATGGAGGTACTGTATCATCTGCCCTTTCTTTGTTTTCTTTGTGCAAATGATGGGGAATGGTAAAGCAATTCTCTCCTGTGTGGATTGTTCACATGACAATCACAGATTTAAACTTTCACCATCTCACTTTTCATTCATTCATTCATATTCATCTTCTCTCTGTCTCTCCCCTCTCTATCTCTTCCTTCCTTCTTCCTCCCACCTCTTTCTCTGCATTTTACCCTAATGACTTGAAATGCATTTAGTAAAACCTGCCACTTGCTCTGCAGCTATCTTTTGAGCTTTTACTGAAGCAGCACAGGTCCTGCATTATAAAGTCATAAGGCACTTTAAGCAAAGTGTCATTCTGGATCTAAACATTTAAATGTATTCCCCACTGTAGGACTGGTGTGAATTAACAGTAACAGCCCCCTCCCCAGATTGCTGCTTGTCCTGTAATAAGTCACAACCATCTTTTTTTAATGCAGAGTCAATTGTTAATGTAATCCAACAGAATTGTCTTTTTGTATCTCAACAGTGCTGGAGAAAGTTAACACTTCTCCCACTCCTCCCACTTAACAGTTAAATGCTACTTTTTGAGAACCTCCTGAAAAACTAGATTTGTCTCCTGACAAATTAGCAACAGCAAAGAAACATAAAGGCTCAAATTCGGTCTCCTAATGAGAGAGAGTAACTTTAGGGAAAGAGCAATACACAGGTGTGGATGCACACCTACAGATATAGATAGATGGCTCTGTACTTTTAGTCTGTGATTTGAGTCATGGCCTTTCAGAATTTTGCACAAAAGCATTCCAAGAGTGATATCCTGTTATTTATTCTGTACTGTCTGACCAAATCATTTGGGAGTGCATGTTCTGCTGTATTACGTACACTGTATCTTTGTGTATGGGTGATCTCTGGAGGTGGTGGCCTTGTGGTGTTATCTGAAGCTGTGTTTTCATATTTTGAAAAACAAGGTATTTTCAGCTTTATTTAACATGCAAAAATTTATTATTTGAGCTTCTTTTTTCCCCCATTTTTGGGGATTTTATTTTTTGTTTGTTTTTTGCAATGCTGCCTCTCCCAAAGCATGCTGGGAGCTAAGTGATCATATGAGTCATGTTTTCTGGGCAACTTTTTTATTATGAATCAAACGGTGGGTGGAAAGGGGGGAAGGAGTGTGCATGGCATTGTCATTAAGTGTTTATTGTACTTTTCTGAGTTGTGATATCAGCATTGCAAAGCCTACTGTCTTTTTTTGAATATTCATTTTGACTTTGATATTCCTAACATACCTTATATAATCATTGTGTTTTCCTTTCAGTGCAATGCATTTTTAAGACACTCCCATCCCCCACCTGAGGCAAGCTCAGGTGAAAATCGGCCATGATAGCAAATAATTAGCAGGATTTAAAATATCCAAGATTGCAGTCTTGTACAACATGCAGTCATGTATGTGATAATGTTTTGGTTTTCCCTTTTTCTTAGGCTGCTCCATTTTTGTGGATTTCCAACTATCTTTCATCATGGAGATTAAAATCTAAGAACTGTTGGGGGGGTATCTGTACTTGTCTTCCATACATGCTTTTATTCTTATTTCCTATAACTGAGGGATTTATATCCAAGTTGGTCTCTCCTTAGGTAAATTTTTAACCCAAATTCTTTCAACTATTAGAAAGACTCCTTCACTCAGAGCGCCCCAGTGAGGCCTCCAAGAATACTGATGGCATTTGATTTTCCTGCCTTCCCACAGTAGACTTGAAACCATAACTGGGCATAAACCAACACTAAAAAACATAAGGCTTTCAAAATAGAAAGATCTGTTCTGCGGATTGGAGTATATTTATTCTTAAGAAATCATTGATCCTTTATTAATATCTCTAGTATAAGAAAATCAAATGTTATTTTTTAAACTTGACATCCATACTTAAAGAAGGCTTCAGACACTTTGATCAAAAAATTGACATTTAAATAGAATTATACAGTTATAATTGTACAACTGAAATTATTTGCTTGGTTTTTAAAACTGATTCCATAATTTTCAGGACTTAGCATCTTCAGCCAAGCTGTATTCTCTAATTTAAATGATTTGAATATTAAAAGAATAAAGTTCTCAGTTTTTTTAGGGAACTTTCTGTTTCTCCACTGTATTCCCACCCGTTTTTCACAATTTAAACAAGTCATTTTTAAAGCCATAATCATTGGTCAATTTTCTGCTTTTGTATCTTTTTTAGAATTTAGGGAAGAAAAAATAACAAATGTACTGTTAGGAGACACTGTGATTTGTTATGCAACACCTATGCAACATCAATAACAATAACAACTCTCTTTCGTGACAAACCCCTTCTCCACATAATTTCCATCTTGAAAGTATTCTGCTTTTTAAAGTAATAGGGTGCTGAAACACAGGGTAGATAAGGAAAAATGGATTATAGGGCGTGTTTTTAATGGTAGAATCATTATTTTTATGCACTTGACTGACATTTAACATTCTCTGCCGTGACTCTGCCTACCAGAGCTGAAGATTCATACACTAAAAGTTTAATATTGAAGTAGTCATCTCATTTTCTCCAGTTTTTTTTTAAATGACATGATGATAGCAGGTATTTGTAGTTACCTCCCCAATAACCACCCATGGTGATAAAATATATATATACAAGTTTGTTTTCTAAAAGAAAGAAAACCCAAAGGGAATGGAAGCAAACAGTACCATTAAATAGGAATACAACATCTCTGAGAGGAATCTGTTATCATGCTGAGTTTCAATAAAAGTTGTATTTAATCATTGGGTAGAATTACTTCTTTTTACCTCAGCAAGATAAAATGGGCTCAATAGTGATGGAATGTGCAGGCAAGCCACACTGGGAAGGAAAAAAGCCTTGGAAAGGAATGTTACCAAGTGGCAGATGTTCCAAACATGCTTTGGAAAGGATTGTGCTTGAGATACTAGGCTATTATTTTCCCTGAAGAATGTATCTACCTCAAAGATGAATTCATCTTATTCTGACTTTTGGCCTTTCTCAGTACCCTACTCCTTCTGTCTTAAAGGTAATTAAAACTGAAAGAAGCTGCTAGAATGGTAAGATGATTAGGGAAAAAGAGACCAAGTAGAATCTTCCTTCTGCCAGTTAAGATGTACTGTATCTGCTTGGACTAGACTGTGGTTCTTTTCAGTGCAGTAGTTCTCAACATTCTGGATAGAGTAGATGTGTCGTGGAAGGAAGAAGAAAGATCTGCTTGAAAACATTTGCACTATTGCTTTGATTAGTGCCAGTGTTTTCTAGCTCCTTCCTTCATCCATGTTCCTAAAATGGAAACCCACTTTTCCCTGTTACTACTGGATTAAGATGATTTCCACTATTTCAAAGTTCAAAAATACATAACTAAGTATTAGAAATGGTTAGAGAGACAGAAAGAAAAAGAAACATTATCATTCTAATTTCTCCCCTGACAAAGATAAAACTGTCTTTAAGACATGGAAGCCATGAGGTCTATTTAAAGATAAGATCTTTTGTCTTGAAGGAATCCCAGAAGTCTGAAGAAAGACCCATGAAGAGAGCACGATAGGTAGTCTGATAATCAGAGTAAGAAAGCAAATGGCTAGACAGAGCAACAGACCCCTGCCCCAAAACAAGCCAATGATAGATCTGGAATTTTCTTTTGATGATACTACTCTGTGAAGAAGGAATATCAAACCATTCTTAAACCATTCCAGACCATTTCATGTGCTACAAGATAGTTGAAAGATCCAGCGCTTTCTGTCCTGAGAGGATTCAACCAGGCTGTAACTTCCTCTTCACTTTCCAATATGTCTGACCACAGGGCTGCTCTTCACCTATCGTGGTGAAGTTTGCCGATACTCAGAAGGACAAAGAGCAAAGGCGCCTCCAACAGCAGCTTGCACAGCAGATGCAACAGCTCAACACTGCCACCTGGGGGAACCTGACGGGGCTGGGTGGTCTGACCCCACAGTACCTGGCGGTAAGTGCTAGAGAAAATACTCTGTGGTGCCCCTTGAACTCTAGAAAGCTACTTTTGCCTTATGTGTGCTAAGTAAATCATTTTCTATGCATTTCGACTCTAAAGAAATAATGAAATTAGCACATACACAGGAATATTTTTGCAAGTGATTAACTTAAGGATATGACTTTTTTTCCTGAAGCAACATGAACATTCCATAGGCTAAACTTCAAACCAGTATTTTGAAGCATCCTAAAAGCCCTGTATTAAAGAAACACCACATGCTTGAGAGCTGATAGGCAAATACTGAGAGCTGGCTGAGAATTTGCTGGCTTCCTGGTTGGTATATGCCCTCTCTGGGTCTTAACTAAAAAAATCTCCTCAACTTTATGTCTGTGATCTTAGGTCTTCCCATTGGAATTATGTTGATGAAATAAAATATTTCTTTCTTCACCTATGTGAAACCAAAGAAATTAGGTCCTATGTCAGGTCAAATAGACCTAATTCTCTGAACCATCCCTTGTATTTTATAGCTTTTACGCCTTCACATTCTTGTGTTTTCTTTGTATTACCCATTTCCCTTTGTCAGCTTTACTGAAATACAGTGACCAGAACTTGAGATATAGTCCCCCTGTAAGATCTAAACAGGACAGAGTATGACCCCTAGTGTGGACTTTAAAACATCATACTATAGCTTCAGAGTAGCATTTGGAGTAATCATCTCTGATGTGGGCAGAAGCAAATGAATACTTTTGAGTTATTTTTACTTGAAATATTACTGGACATGCTCCTCTACCTTCCTTTTTCTGCTTTAGAACCTAAGTGCTAGACTTGACATTCATTAGTATTTCATGTTGTGAGTTTAGGCCTTTTATTCCAGCTGGGTGGGGCGTGGATCTTGAGCAAGTGCATGTGTTATGTCCTAATTCTGTCATTTTACATTTTAACTCTCTCTCTCTCAGGATTGTATCATCCACTAGCTTCAGTTTGTAGCAGAAATTGTACTGTTTTGTGAAACAGTCCTGTTATCTTGAAATGGGATTATCTTGCTTGTTGTACAGATGAGAAAAGAGAGGTTGAGATCAAGTAACTTTACCAATGTTTGTACAGCTGCTGATGACTGATGGAATTTGAGCTCTGTATTTTCTCACCACCTTGACACACTGCTGTTTATGGACTCTGAGATCCAGATCACTTTTCTACTTCAAGCCTCCCTCAATGGCCAGCAGGGCACACTGTTGGTTATGAGAAACGTGATTTTCCTGTCTTCATCTGAGTTACTAACAAAGGCATTGACCAAGTTTACTGTCAGCTCTGGTCACTAGTCTATCTTATGCTTAAAGACATTCAAAGAGATTTTTGTCAGGTCCCTTTTTAAAATATAAATATATATATATATACATACTATGCCGTATCTTTTTTTCTAGCCTATCAGTTTAGAAATTTTATTTAAAAAAACAAGTATAGCTTCATGAATTTTGTTTTTCACAAACATGTTGTTCAAGTGTATATGGACCAGCATTTTAAATTATACATACCAGAATTTTTACCAGAGGTTGACATCATACTTGGCTTATCACAGTTCCTAAGAGTGCAGCTTCTTGCTTTATCATTTCTGAGAACCAAGACACATGGGCTGCTCACAGTATCCTGATACATCTCCTGTGCTCCACAGCTTACAGAAATCTCTGGCACATGTTTCCGTGACCACATCTGCAAATTACTTTTGTACCTGAAAGAGAATTAATCTCAACCTTACTAATAGAAATATTTTTAAAAGCTTATACTGTGTTTTCTCCTATTGTGGATATTAGTTCTTTCTTAGCCATGTCTGTTCTACCCCTTTCACTTAAAATTCTTTTCTCTGAAAAGGCTCTGTGCCATGCAGGCATTCCTTACTTCTGTGCCGAGTCATACATTGTTACAAAAGATTGGTTATCCTTGGAAATAATCTTTGGTCATGGTTTCATGGCACTACAGGTAGTTCTACTTAGCATAACAGGTGTTACTAATTCTTCAGGTTATCTTCAAAACTAGTTTAATTGTGCAAATTTAATTTTTAAAAACATGGAATATGAAGAAGAGGGAACTCCTAACTACGAGAATGGGAAATTCTACAAATCAAAAGTTATTTCTCTATTAAAATGAATAATTCCCAAGCTTTCCCACACCTTAGTGTTTCCCTCTTTTTATGTATGAATGGCAGAGCACATATGTGTATGGAAGCACAGAATATCTTGTGCCATATTCTAACAATTTAGGAGGACAGATGAACATTGCAGGCATCTTCCAAGTATAGTCCCTGACAATAGCAGGACCCATAAGTCACTGTCCTTGAGGCTTACTCAACCATTCTTTTTAGTGCTTTTGTATCAGTTGATCCATGCTTATTTTTTAGTTATATCCAATTTCTGAGTTTCTCTTACTAAACTAAAGAGATCCATACTGACCCACAGAACACCAGTATTCTACATTAAGTTTCACAAAGCTCTAGACAAATTCTGAAAGCTATTTCTCAAGGAGTAAATTAACCTTGTCCCTCATAAGCACATGGTGTCCTAACAACTTTTCAGTAATTTTATAAGTTACATCTTTATAAAATTAGTATATCTTTAAAAAATTATAATTTTATAAATTGTATCTTTCCAATATCCATTTATATTGGAATATAGGAGATAGACACATACTTCTCCACATACAAATTATATCTGTATTGACCTATCTTATAGAAAAGAATGTGCATCTGTTCAAACATTTAGTTTAGCATTTAACTTAACCTAAAGTTCAAAAAGGGAAGGAGCACTTGTGAACAGCTGCCTCATCCCTTTATCTTGTAGCACCCTCTGATTCTGTGTAATAGGAAAAATATGTTTTTAAAAGTTATAGGAGAAAATCTACATTTTTTCACAGGCATTACACAAGGATATTTCTTTTTTCAAATATACTAATAGTGCACAAGTTTCCAACATACATAGCTCCAGATAATTCCAAGTATTGAGAAACAGTATCTTTTTCTCTGCCAGTGAAGACCATCTTAAAAATGACTAAACATTCTCTTGGTCTCGAGGCTGAGGCTTTGATGGTATGGCTATAAATAGATACACTTATATCGGTAATTGTTGTGATAATCTTTATGTTGGCCTATAAGTGAGTAGATCTAGGCATTTCTGATGAAGAATGAAAAAAACCAAGCTGTACAGTATAAGAGAGGAGGAAACAGACCTTGATTGGCAGAGATGAGTTATGGTAACTACTAGACTGCAGAGAGATATAATTAGTCATGCTATGTTGGTTTCAATAGATTTAACACCTGGTTGTTAAAGAGTAAATTGATTAATTGTTTTAAGGCAGCAGTGTTAGTGAGTTTCCCCAGTGTCTGTGTTTCTTAATAGAGATTAGACATTAATATGGATTTACAGCCCCAACTCTGGGGACCTTCAGTCTATCAATAGGCTGTGGCAGCCAACTCTATAAATGTAAAGGGAATGGAATTTGCCCCCAGTTTAGTGAGGAAGTTCTCGTCTTCACGTTGTCTTGATTTTCACTTGTGTGTTCATTTGCAGCTTCTGCAGCAGGCCACTTCCTCCAGCAACCTGGGTGCATTCAGTGGCATTCAGCAAATGGCTGGTAAGTAGTGAAGCATGCCTTTCCTTGTGTTGTATGAATTTTTATGTGATTGACAGGGCAAAGAAAAGAATAGGGAAAGAGAACAAAGAGTAATTGCCAGGCCTATTAGCTTTGTGTCTTAGGTGTTAAAATTGAAAGCATCTGTTCTAAAATACTTCTCTGCCTTTGTATAAAAGACTGAACATTCCTACATACTGTACTTTCTTGTAATTTGTGAGGTTTTTTTTTTTAATGGGACTGATTACTGGGGAATTGCCAACCAGATTCCTGTATCCAGGGCAGCCAAAATGATTGACATCCCTCTAAAATTTTAATACTAAGCACTCAATAAAATATTCCAACCTCTGTAATGAAAGCCAAAATTGGAGGCCTATGTTTGATCAGCTTGTAGTTCCTTGATAATGACAGAAAATTAACAGGGTACCTTTTTTATACCAGTTTAGTATACCAGTTGACAGAATTGTGCATCAGAAGCATTTATGTCAAAGTATAAATCTTTGTTCCCAAGAAAATCAAAGTATGACTATATTTAAAAGGCAGCTCATTGAAAGACCCGTTTTCATAACGAGCTGTGCCAGTCCTAGCTGAGGTGCAGTGATTAGTGAAAGGTCACTCCTACTGTGCCACTGCCATGCTGATAACCCACCTTAACACAGAGTCAGGGAAGGCAGCTTGTGCAAGAACTCAGAACACAGGTACCTATTAACCTGCTGGGAGAACAGTTAGAAAGTATTTTTCTTCTGTGATTCAAAAAGTAGTAGAGAATGCAAGTAAAAACAGATTTATAGCAGATTAAGATGAGGACACCTTAAATCAATAAAATGAAACCTAAGTGTACAGAATAAAAACTAGATTTAATCTGTCACTATGATAATTTTTTCTACATTTTTTCTTTCAAATACATATTTTTGGTGTTTTGTTTTCACCTTGAATAAATCTAGAAAAACTTCTAGTGAGTCTTCTCCTCATACTTGTTCTATGATCATCTGCCCAGCAGCCCACTGTGGTACACAGGCTAATGGTAACTTGTCTGATGGTATATATTGGCAAGTTGTAAATATTGCACTGCTGAATGATTTATTGAGATTCACATCTGTCAGCAACACTGGATTGTTCTGATAGACTGTGTCTTTTGGATCATTAGAAAAAATGTATTTTGAAATGGTAAATATTAAAATACTGCAGTACAACCACAAGTAAGTTTGAGAAGCAGACATTAGAGCTAAGAGTAACAGTGAAATGTTAATTTATTTTTCATTTTGTGAAGGGAACTGGCAAGATATTAGTAAAATATCCATGTTATTTTTTTTAAATGTTTTTAAAACGGCAAAAAAAAAAAAATCCACTCTATTACAATCTCTAAAATACATGCTGAGATTCTCATGTTTTCAGTTAGTAGGAGACCTCCCCTGTTCTGAAATTAGGGGCTTTCCTTACAGGAAGCCTCAGGCTCTTTCACTCCCAAAGTTGAACTTTGCAGAAAAGGTCCCTTACTCCTGAGGCGATAACCGAGTATGTCTTCCCAGGTAGACAGCCTGGCCTGTCGTTTTTCATTAGGATGCGTGCACCTCTGCCATGCCAACCACAGGTCAAGATATTAGCATTTACATGTTCTGCGGGCTCATTTGAAAACTAAGGGTATCTGGGAGTCACCTTATAAGGTGCCATGGAGCAGGTGGCTAATTTAAAGTCATTCTATAAATGCTCTGGGCTTTCCAAAATATCCATTTCTTGAACCTTCAATATGGCAAATTTAGCACAGTCTGCACAGGCTGAAAAATCAAATGCTAAAGAGTATTACCATTATTTTGAATATTTAGAATATTCAAAATGTAAGTGTGAGCTCTCTTTTGTCTTGGTGATTTCTAGTACCCTATGTGTGTATAGAGTGTGTGTGTGTGTATAATTAAGTTGCATCTTACTAAGTGTTTGTAGCATTATGGTTGGGGGGTGGTTTTATTTTCCCCATTAAGAAAAATTACATAGATTTTCTTACTGTTTTATCTCAAAAGCAGGGCTCAACTTTTTTCCTTGCCAATTAATCTGTACCAATGTTATGAAGTGATCATAGCATATTGGTGGTAAGCATTAGTTCTTAGAAGTGATCTTTCTCAATTCTCCCAAATGAGGGAAGTTGTGCTCATAAAGTCCTCTCTTCCCTCCCTTCTGTCTCTGGGTACTCCCTTTCCCTAGGCATCAAACCATACTTTGAGTTCCAGAAGAGCATGTCCTTTCCTGATGACCAACTGACTCAGCTTACAGTCCTCTGAGAGATTCTCATGGCGATTTTTGAATTGATGAGTAAAGAAATTTGTAAATTGGCATACATAAGTTTGTTTTTTGGAGGCATTTTCGATGGCCAGTTATTAAATTAAGAAATTTGGCTTTAGCCTCATATGTAAATTTAAAAAAAAAAATATATATATATATATATATATATATGAACTACTGCCAGTAAATTCATCAGTGAAATGCTAAGGATTTGGAGATGGTTGATGGATGTAAAATAAAACATATTACAGCACAAATTATATGTAAGGAACACAATAGAAGCCATATGAAAACAGAATTAAAGGGATGTAAGAGGTCACTTATCCCTAACCCCATGTAATGTTAAAATGCTTGTTGAGTGATTAATGTTGTGATATAAAGTGAGCAATACATAATTCATACGTAATTTTTATGTGTGGCAGTAGCATATTAATATAATGCACATATATAATCCAAGTAGTCCAGCTTGGATCACTATCACTAAAACAAGTGAAATATTTTGAAAACCAATAATACTTTGCTGTGAACAGCTCTCAAAACATGATGGTCTATCCTGAGGAAGATTGAAGTTGATAGTTAGAATCTTAAAATGCCTCTTTCATGTAGATAAAATATTTTCTATTTCAGGAGAAAATAAAATGAAGCCAAAAAAGAAATTTTAGATGACAAGTTACTGAGTAGTTGCATCAATAAAATGAAACATTAACTATACTTTCTTTTCCCAAAGAAAATTACCATTCTCCTTTTAAACTAAAAATGTCTTCAAATGTATTTTAGGATTTTTATAAAAGTAAACCTTTATTAAATACAGAATTTAAAGCCAGAAAATGGATTAGGATTAAATCTTGATAAGCTGAATTCTTTAAGTACATTTACTGTGCCACTTTAAAACTGACTGATTTTATTTTCACTCTTAAAACTTAAATAAAAAGTTGGCCATTTCTTAGTCAATGATAGTATTTATTCAGTAAATTTTTGAAACCTGAGAAATTTAGAGTCTGACTTGAGGCTGAAAATCTAGCTAGCTTTTCACTACAAGAGAAAGGAATAAGGAGAAAATATGTTTTTGATCTTCAGTTTCTTTATAGCAACTATTACATCACAGAAGATCATCATGATGAAAAAACAAGGGTAGCATTTCACAAGTTTGTATTTAATCTCTCTCACTGTAATAATCATATAGCTATTCTCACAGCACACCAAAGACAAAACCACTGCTTTGTTATTATATAACCCTTGGGAAACCAGAAGTATGGAAAGGTTACATAAGTTGTGAGACTACAGCACCAGAAAATGCCATAATGTTATTGTAGGGTAATTCCTTTAGAAATGGCTTGCCAGGTCCTCCTTGCCTCAAACAAAGAATTAGATTAGACAAGCCAAAAACAATGTTAAATGTTTATTTGAAAAGTACACAGTAAATGGGTGGAAAAACGGGCTCCATAAAGCAAATTTGGTCCAAAGAAAAAGGTGGGTAAAAGCAAAAATAAAAGTACACACCATGTAGACTATCGTGGAAACTTGTGTGATAGCAGCTTTCCATGATGGTTGGTCCTCCTTTATGCCATCCACATCTCAGAGATGAGAGCTTGTGAGAAGTTCTCTATATGGGATCCTGACAGTCTTGAATCTTGTAACTGACAGGTCTCACTCATTTTCTCAGCCAGCTTCACCATGCCCTATCTCCTGAATCAATAGGGATTGTGATACAGAACTCCCAAATCTCACAATTCAATGAGGTAGAGGCTGTGGTATCCTGTTTTTACAGATGGGTGACAAGGCTCAGGTTGATTAACAAAGTCACTGAGTTAGCAGGATGGATTCAAATTCTAAATTAAATTCAGCCTCACCCAAAATCTGCACTGTCTCTGGCCCCCAAACAAATGTTGCATGCCACCCACACCAAGTATATTTGCATAAATACAAGCTGCAGTGATTTGTCTACAGGCATAGTTTAACAGGCCTCATGATAAGTCAAATCTTAGGAAAACAAAGTCCCAAAATTGTTAAAAAGGAAGCAATTCAGAGAGTGACAGAAAACTACCTGCCTTTATTCCACAAAATATTTCTAATTTATTAGTAGGTTATTTTTTGTTAGGGATTTTTTTCCTAGACTAAGAAATTCTTATTAAACAAATTATACGTTTGAAGCTGTGAAGAGAAAGTATCTATTGATCAGTAAACTCCTTTATGTAATTCTAATTTTCAGTAAAGTTGAAAGTAACTCTTTCACTTTCAGAATAGCTCATCTAAATTTTTAAAGTAACAATAAAGCTGTACAGAGCAAACATTTGCTTAAAATAACAAAAAAGCTGCCCATTATGGATTTTAGACCTGTTCCTTGAGAATATTGTCTCTGAGTGTCTGTCACAAGTGGGGAAAAAGAAAGACATTTGCAAAAACAATGTAAGGGAGGTCTGTGGAGCTCAATTGGAGATGGTCCCAGCATGATGAAGTGTGCAACACAAGCCCACAAAGACTCTGTGTTCTTCCCTGAGTCTCCAACAGTCCGCACCACAGACACTTCCTGCGAATGTGCTAATAGGCCTTATGAGAATGTTCTATAACCACCCATCTGTCACTTTTTAACAGACCTGATTGGCAAGCACTTGTAACAACTGACATCTGTTCTCACGTATTGATATGCAGATTTATGGTAATTGCTATGAACAATAAGACACAAAATTACCTAAGGTGAACATTAAATTAAATTTTCATGCCTTTCTCAT